GGCGTTCGGACGTGGTCGGGCGGAGTCCGGTCGGGGTCGGGTGGTCCGGTGGGGTCGGGTGGTTCCGGTCGGGTCGGGTGGTTCCGGTCGGGGTCGGGGTGGTTCCGGCGGGGGTCGGGGTGGTTCCGGTGGGGGTCGGGGTGGTTCCGGTCGGGGTCGGGGTGGTTCCGGTCGGGGTCGGGGTGGTTCCGGTCGGGGTCGGGATGGTCCCGGTCGGGGTCGGGGCCGGAATCTGACAAGAGAGGTTGCAAGGAGACGGAACAAAGAGCGCTTTAAACAAACGGTCCAAATAGAAAGGAGATTGCAAGACGACCCTGGTCCAATCTCAGAGGAACCGAAACCTGTCCCAATGTCGAAAATCGTGTCTGCATGGATTCTAGGAGAATGTTCGAAACCCCTCTCACGAATCAAACCTTACAGCAGCCGCTTGCCGTCGCGCTCGGGAAAGCAACTGTTATGTATTAAGAGGTTCTCTACGTTGAGGCTACATCGAGGGCATATCTGAAGCATTTTCCGGAGATATCCTGACAGACAGTCTCTGCTTGGTGACCGATATCAAGTTCAATTTGAAAGTTATGCTGCTCCTCAAGCACGGAAGCGGTCAAGCCGTCAGCTCTAGTCTCTTTTATGCCAACCGCACATTGAATCAGAGTGACAGTCTGTTTTGGTTTCCTTGCTTAGATTCCTAGATTGAGAAGCAAGGGTTGTGAAAGCATCAATCAGAGCCTGCAGGCCAAAACATACGAGTCATTCTACGCTCTTTACAAGAGAAACGGTCAAGAGTTGGTTCCTTTCTAGGAGTCCCTCACCTGAGCGCTCACGTGACCGCAAGTGACCGACAGCAGCAGCAGTCCTGCAAGAAAGAGCGGCATCCTGCGATCGGGCCCCATTTTTCACGCACCGATTGTCTCCTTCCCCTGCGATTGGTTCTGAGAGCTCCGACTATGATCAAAGGCAGAGATAAAGACAGTTCTTCAAGCGGAATGCGCTTTTGAAAGAAGCGCATGTGACAGCTGCTTTTCAGACTCTTTGCTTTCAAAAACGACCAGATCGCTGCATCTTCGCTGCAGTAAAGTACAAATCAAGCTATGAAGTCGGACGAAGTGCGGCTAAGATGTGTCGGATTATATGGGTAAGCCCAGACCAGACATTGGAAAGACTGGGACTAGAACGCCCAAAGAAAGGTATGCAGATGCGTCACGGACCAATATACACCGACGACCAGAATGTTGCAAAGTACAGGGCTTTCTCGAATTCCAAAACTGCTTCAAGATAGTACGGTTCGAGGTCCTCGCGGCATTCCCAGCTTTTTCCATTCCAACCATCCCAACAGTGCAGAACTCCGCAGCCCCATTGCTGCGGATAAAAGCGCTCCCTGTCTCGTGGTGTTGAGCCAGCGCCTCGGATTCTTTCTAAAACCGGCCCGAGATGCTAAGCACAGTGTTTGTTTCGGTCGTGATTCCAGTGCATCTCGTCCATTCTCGTGAGCATCGGGCTAGACTCGAAGATCCTGAAAACGCACCCCTTTATCGTACTATGACGCCCCGTCAAAAGCCCGCCTCGAGTCCTTGGAATTGGGCGAGGTCTTAAAAGGGGCGTCTTGTGACCAGTAACGCCTCGGCGACTAGATAGCCCGGCCCGTATGCACGCAGTCTGGGTGGCTGAATTGGGTAAGCCCACGTGACCAGATTCTTGGCGACACGCGGGCGGAATGTCATGCGAAGTGGCCGCCGCGGGACCACGTGGTTAGACGCCCGTCCTCTTGAAGCGCCCCCAGCAAGTCCACCGTCGAACCAACGAGTGAACTTGGCGCGTTCGCGCTGCGTCGAGATCGAGGCTCTGAAAAGTAACCTCGTTGCCGAGTACAAGGTTTCCGTTAACCTGTTTCTTCCGAGGTAATCTTCTCTTTTTTGTCGTTCTTGTAGACGTCAATAAATCTCCCAACTCAAACACTTTCGCGACCAGTCTTTGCGGAGAAGCACGCACGCGGTGTTCTGCCCTGGACGAACGCCTATTTAGTGTGAGAATGATGCCTGCAGGGTGAGTACACGTGGCAGTCCCTTCTGCGTACACGTGGCTGTCCCCTCCTGCGTAACCTGGCTGTCCTTTCTGCGAACGTCCTGCAACTGAAGCACCTCTTATTGTAGGCTCTTCAAAAATAGTTCGATGCCTCTATAGATCACGAGATGGAGTTCACGACCATTTCGATGGGTGCACCTCATGTCCTTATGTTTTACTTTTTTGCAACGGAGGGCAGCTTCGTCGACTGCGGCCTGCTTTCCCAATTATCCTTACAAAATCGGCTTTGCTGTCGTCAGATCATCGAGCTGAGCCCGGCTCAAGAGGCGATGCTGAGGCGGATGATGCGAGAGAAGATTTAAAAGTCTCGTGTAGACTTTTACGGGATTTGTTTTCTCCCAATTTGTTCCCATTTTTGGATTACTGTGGCGTGAAAAAACACGAGTGTGCCCGCGGTGCTGTTCATGGGCGGGCTTAGAATTTGCAGCGCTCGATCCGCCGATGTGTGTATCACAAAACCAGAAGGTGCTCATAACTTGGATCTTTGACCATGTAGTCATGTCTGGTTACTGAAAACCAAAACGATGTTGCTGCCGAAAACGATCGCGGATGGGTCACAAACTTCGAGATCGGCGAAATGAAAGTTTGCAAATGCTTTCGCAGATGCCTTTGCAGACAGCCCAAGTCTGCAATCTTGCGAGCGCACGTGATCCTATGTCTCTCTTTCTGCCAGGATTTTTAAGAACCATCGTGTGTCTACATCAACGGCATTCATTTCAGAGTACAGTGTCAACAAGACGGATCGTGTTATCATGTCTGCATAGGGCTTCGTTTTGTAAGTAGATCACGAGTTTCATAATCCGTTGGATTCGCGAACCGCCCAATTGAAGGATTCGTGGCGACTTTCTCATAGAATGCCGAAGTACATGTCGCTGGTTTAACAACCCAAGATGCTTTGGCACGCTTGAGCTTCGCAATCTGGAAGGACTCACGGATCGATGTCTATACAAGTTGGAACTCAGCGTGGCTGTCGTGTCCACTGAAACTCAAACGCTCTTAACGGCAGCTCCTTCGTGAATGCTAGAGAATTCGTTGCCCGTTTAAGTTCGGAGCGCTCTTAAACTAGGGCTCTATGCGACAACAATCTTAAACCGTTGACTAGTGGACTTGGCTTTTTAACCGTTCAGTGGACTTGGCCTTAAAGTGTGGTCCTAAACTAGGTTCTGGTTTGTAGCGGTAATTGCCGGGACCTTTGCTGCGCATGGGGTGACGGTAGGGACCGGTTCCGCGGTGCCCACCGGCAGATCTCTACTGGTAGCAGCGTGGGCTACGCAACGCAGGAAACCGTCACCTGGGAAGACGAACGGCGTTAAGTAATCAAAACTTGGGAACAGCTTTGGAGCAGTAGCTTGCCAGCTCACATGGTTTGAAGTACGCACTTGCTTGAGCGTGCGCTAGCAGAAACGAAATCCGAGCACCCATTCTTGAGAAGTTTCACGTAGCAAAACCTCAGGATTTGCGGTGATGCCACAGTTAAAAGCGTTCACAAGTCAATGGCGATTGCCTCTGATCAAAAGCTTTGGTTCAAATGGTTGCTGCACCCAAAAAAAGCGAAATAGGTCGAGTTGCCGTGGAGAGCGACGAAACTTATAATTGAGCTTATCTTTACGAGGCAATAAAAGCGGTACTGCAAGTCGGGTTTCCAGGCTCCCGTCACGATCTTCACGAGATTCTCTCAAGCTTCCTAGTCGTCTGCGTATCAAACTTTTGAGAAACTGAGCAACGACTGATCCCCCAGGCCAACACCCCTTCACACAACGTGGAAATAACGTGTCCCTTGCGCTTCATAGTATGCAAAAGCACATGCTCTTCGTGTGTCCGCTTCTGTGGATGCAGGAGAAGGGGTTTTAGGGTTGTAGGTTTCAAGGGTTTGAGGATTTACAAAAAACTAGGAGAGGGTTTCGTCTCCGGGAGAGGCCGCCTAGCGCAGGGGCAATCACACAACTCACTGCGATTTCCGCGGGAGCAACAGTAAGGGTGGATCTGCTTGTTGAAGTAAAGATGATCCGCTTGGGTCCGAACGGAGAGGAGATGCCAGTGGGTGAGTCGAGCCGGATGGCGATAAAATCTAGCCCGGCGGTGGAACTGGTTGAGCCGATCAGAGGGCCGACGGCGGCTTTCGCACCGATGTAACCGCGGCGCGTAGAGAGCTGCGCGACAGACGAAATGACACAGCTGTTGTCTTGATTTTTATTACTTCGGTGTGTTCCATGTTTCGTGCCGCTTGTAATTAGGTTGAAGCGACTCGGACCCGCCAGGAGTTTAGTGGTGATCTCTCAGAAGAACGTATCACTCTAAAACACCCCCCTGGTTCTAGTGACCCGTTCTAGCAGGAAGCGCATAGGAAGCGCACGTTTTAGCATGTTCGACCACCCGAGCCGGAAGGTGCATAGAAGAAAAACCAGAAAATACTCAAACGACCCGTTCTACAAAGGGAAGTGTATAAAACAATCACTAGAACAGGGGGGGTGGTTTGGAGAGTATGCATGCTTAAAAGATTGTCTAAGCAAAGCACACTCTCGCAGGCGCCAGTCCTTCAGAGATCTCTTACTGGTCTCGTACGGTCAGTATTGACCAGGAGCAGGTTTGCCTGCGATCCGCCGACCGGAATGTCAAACGGAGACGGAACTTCCGCAGTCGCCGTATCGGTAGCCGGGTTGTAAAGCCGCCAGAAGTCGTTGTTGGTTTGATTGCTGGCCAGGAAAATTTTCACGGGCGTCGAACACGCATTGGTGATTGTCACTCGGGCGGTTGAAGACGGTGGGGGAGAACTTGAAGGGCCCGGACCTGTTAGAGAAGCAAGGATTAAGCCTTTCGGGAAAAGGTTAGCCCGAAAACTAACTACATGTGGTTAGTGAAATGCTCATTCGCTCCTCCCGGGCTGCGGAGACGGAGCTAGCAAACTGCCCCCCCCAAACGGGGCGGCTCAGGGATTTCTGTCCCGTTCTTAGGTCGAAGTTATCTGGTGGCACCCAGAAAGAAGAGCTGAAGTAAGACGAGCCCGCACATGGTATTGAGTTGGCTGACATATTTGCGGAGGCAGGCCCAACGTCAAAGATGGACGATATTCAAGCTTTCAGGTTACACCGATCATGCTTCGCACAAATCTGATTCAGGAGGAAATCCAGGGGGCTTGTGGTTCAGCATGCCCATCTGAACTGGAAAATCTGCCACGTTGCGAGGAGCTAGGATCGGACACCCTGTGCGTAATTGAGACAAGCTGCATTCAAGCATATCTTCAAGTTGCTCCGATCAGATGGATGAATCGCATCAACAGAGTTCCGGTTGGATGCTCCTTGGGGACCCATTTTTGAAAGCGAAAAGTCACAAGCAGCAGTCCTCTGGTAAGTTCTTACGGAAGAAAGAAAGAATCAGGGCGTTGAAAACGAATAACGTATGCACAGCAGAAAGGTTCTGATGAAGCTTCTTACCGGGCGCAGGCGCAGTTGTGACCGGGGCAGTGGTTGCCGGGGCAGTCGTAGCCAGGGCAATTGTGACCGGGGCGGTTGTTACAGGGGCAGTGGTGGCCGGGGCAGTTGTGACCGGGGCAGTTGTGACCGGGGGAATCGTGACCGGGGGGGTGTTGAAAGGTGGAGTCACCACCCCCCCAACCGGCGGAGTCGTGACCGGGGGGGTCGTCCCGGGCAGTAAGCGGGGGCAAAAGATCGTCACAGCGATGACAACCGGGGCCGCGGTTACACTGGCATTGGCGCTCTGCGCCGCGGCGAATGTGAAAAACCCGGGCGCGCCCGGGAGGGTGACGGTGCTTGCCGCAAACGGGTCGGTGGTGCTGCTAATGAGGAGTCCGTCCACGCCGGGCGGACTGGGCGGAACGAGCGTGGGCGGAACGGGGGTTGCGAGAATGCCCCCCACGCGCGGGTTCCTCTGCTAAAGAAATATGGGTAGAGTATCAGCGATGAAGGCAGAATAAGGAAGTCTTTTACGTTGCTATCCATGATAGATTCTGATTTCAGGGATATTGAAGCCGGCTACGTCTTGCGCTTCTCTTTCGCGGAAAGAAGAGCGCGGGTAATGGGTATCTCATTCTTGTTCATAAGCTGCTGAAGAGTCAGATACAGGTGAATAAATCGCATCGCATCTCCGATCCTGATCCAGAAACCTTGCTTTTACAATTTGAGATCCGTCTTACGCATGCGATCAACGGCTACCGGAGTGTAAGGCCAAGCTTTCCCTGTCTCTGATTTTCGAGAGCCCAAATATGTAGGTTGCAGAGGGGAAGGATATGAATAACGGGGTCTTCCGAAACCCAGGCCTCTAACTCATCTGATCTCCTCATATACTCTGATAGGAGGCATAAGGAATCCAACGTCAGAAGGATCCAAAGCGATCGAACGACAAAACAGATTTGAGGTGCATGGCTGAATCCAAGCGGAAGGACAAGGCGAACGTGCTCTTGTCAAACCTACGAATCTGGAATGACAAGATACACCGCCTTCAAAATTAGCATGACTCGGGATTGAGCAAGTGAATCACCGGCGTCGGAATCATGCATGATTCCGGATCCGGAGCGATTGACCTTCCGCCTGGGAAAACGTGTTTTTGAAGTAGAAGCAGATTACCTACCGAAGGGAACGGCGAAGTGTTGATCAGCAGCAGGTTGTTCTGCGCGCCGCCGGGCGCTATGTTGAACGTCGCGGGCGAGGGCGCGAGGGGGCCTCCATTGGGCTGGAAGATGCGCCAGAAGTCGCCGTTGGTCGTATTGCTCGCTAAAGTGATTCCAACTGGCGAAGAGCAGTTGTTGAAGATATTAACCAGCGCGGTTCGGGCGGGCCCGGTTATGGGTAACGGGGCTGCAAAGGGGAAAACAACCAGCGTCAAGTTCGTGGTGCGGGGAAACACGGCTGCTCGGCACTTGATTGAAATTCGTGGTTGAGCTTTGAGTCGGGCTATCTTGAGTTGTATCAGATTGAGCAAGGTAGCGGAACCGTTTCAAGATTCAAATCGTTTTGCGTTTCTCACCCGTTTTGATACGATCCTTGCCGAGGTGCTTGACCATTCAAAAAACATTTTTAGGCTAGAAGGTAAAATATTTCCTTAAAGGCATCCTTCTTATACCAGAGCAGTCAATCGACGCAAACCGTGAGAAGACATTCAGTTCTCCAATCTAAGAGCGACCGACAACCTTATTTCGCGTTATGCAATTCCAAATTCATCAAAAATGGTGTCGGACTCGCTCCAGAAAACCTTCTCGATGCTCTGACGAAGCTCACACTGTATACGTAGGAGCTTTCGGCTGGTGGAAAGGCTTTCCGTATGCAGGCTCCCAAAGGACAGCTGAATCTCCCCGGAATCAGGGGGCGCGCCGCGACCGGCAAACGCCTGGATGAAAAGTCTGCGTTTCGAGGTGCTCTTGTAGTTTGAGGGTACTTTTAGACATTGTTTTTGTTCTTATTTGCAGACAGCTTCTGCTTGACGAGTAGGGACGCAAGCCGGTTGATGACAGTTTGATGCTGTATCCCGATGCAAAAGCGAATATAGTCAACAGACGGTAGCTCTGTCTCTCTGCTTTCCACAGAGCCCGTTGCGCAGAAAATACCGAAGTACTCTAGCTTAGCATGTCCCGAATTGAGCAAGCAAAACTGGTGTGCACATCAATCAGAGTCTGCAAGAGGAGACATAAATCAACAATCATGCCCGTCACACAAAAGACGAAAATGTGGGTCTTTGTCGCGCTGCCCTTACCTGACCGCAAGTGAAGCCTAACAGCATCAGTCCCTTCGGATACTGAATACCTTCGGATCCGGACGCCTACACCAATCCCAGCTCAATACAAAAAGTGCTTTGATCAAATGGTCCACATTGAAAGGAGATTGCAAGACGACCCTGTTCCACAGGCTCAAAGTAGCCGAAACCTGTCTCGATGTCTATAATCGTGTCTGCATGGATCTCAGGAGAATGTTCAAAACCCCTCTCACGAAGCAAATTTTACAGCAGCGACTCGCCGTCGCGCTCAGGAAAGCAACTGTTATGTTTCGAGAGGGTCTTTACGTTGATACTACATCAAGGCCATATTTGAAGCATTTTCCGGAGATATCCTGACAGACAGTCTCTGCTTGGTGACCGATATCAGGTTGAGTTTGAAAGTTATGCTGCTCCCCAAGTACGGAAGTGGTCAAGCCGTCAGCTCTACTTCTTTTTAAGCCAACCGCACATTGATCAGATTGACGGTCTTTACAGTTTCCTTGCTTAAATAGAGAGGCAAGGGTTGTAAAGGCATCAATCAGAGCCTGCGGGACAAAACACGCGGGTCAATTCACGCTCTTTACAAAAGAAACGTTCAGAGTTGGTTCCTTTCTAGGAGTCCCTCACCTGAGCCTCCACCCGACCGCAAGTGAACGACAGCAGCAGCAGTCCCGCAAGAAAGAGCGGTATCCTGCGATCAGACGTCATCTTGCACGCACCAAACTGTCTCCTTCCCTGCAATTGTTTCTTAGAGCCCCTCCGATGAAAAGGACCTGGGGAGAGAAGAGCTATTCAGACGTTGGAGTGGATGAAACGTTTTGATCGGAAGCTCTTTTGAAGGCGTGATCCTCAGACTCTTCGCTTTATTAAGACAAAGACAAGGGCAGTTGGCTTGACCAGATCGCTGCATCTTCGCTACATCAAAGTATAGATCAACTCACGAACTGTTGCAAAACTTTGTAGAAATTGTTCAGATCAGATCAGATCGCATCTCGAGAGCAGAAAAAATGGGACTAGATTCCCCGACGACAGGTATGCAGATGCGTCACGGACTGGCATATACCGACGATCAGACTGCTGCAAAGTACAGGGCTTTCTCGGATTGCAAAACTGCTTCAAAGTAGTACGGTTCGAGGGTCTGGCGGCCATCCCCGCTTCCTCCAATCTAACCACGCCAACAATGCAGAAATTCACAGTCCCGCTTTTGCAAAAAAAGCGCTCCCTTTGTCGTGGTGTTGAGCTAGTTCCTCAAATTGCTTTCCAAACCGGTCTGAGTCGCTAGGCAGAGTGTTTCTTTCAGTCGGGAGTCCAGTGCTTCTCGTCCATTCTCGTGGGCATCGGGCGGGCTAGGGGTTGAAGATCCTGAAAACACGCCCCTTTATCGTACGGAGCCCCGTCAAAAGCCCGCCTGAGTCCTTGGATTTGGGCGAAGGTTAAGGAGGCGTCGTGTGACCCGTAACACCTCGAAGACCAGATAGCCCGGCCCGTATGCACGCAGTTTGGGCCGCTGACTCCGGTATGTTCACGTGATCGAATTCTTGGCGACACGTGGGCAGAATACCATGCGAAGTAGCCGCCGAGGGACATGTGATTAGAGGCCCGCCCTCTCGAAGCAGGTCTACCGTCGAGCAAACGAGTGACCTTGGGACGTTCGCGCTGCGTCGAGATCAACAGGAGTCGAGGCCAGGATTTGAAGTAATCCTCGCTGCAAAGTCGACCGTTCCGTTGACCTGATCCGGGATCCTCTTCTCTTTTCTTGTTCTTGCAAACGTGATATATTGGCTCGAACTCGAACACTCTCGTGACCAGAGTTTGCGGAGGGGCAATCTAACGCACGCGATTCCGAGGAACTCTTGCCCAACGCGGACACCTTCATGCTGTGAATGATGCATGTACGGAGACCAGTACACGTGGCTGTTCCTTCTGCGTACAGGTGGCTGTCCCTTCTGGTTACACGTGGCTGTCTCTTCTGTGTACGTCCTGCGACTGAGATACCTCTCATGTGAAAGCTCTTTCCAGATTAGTTCTATGCTTCTATATAGCTCACGAGATGAGGGTCAGGAGTGATTGGATGGTCGTACCTGTCCTTACTATGTCTTACTTTTCTGCACCGTGAGACAACTTCGTCGACTACGGTGTGCTTGCTCTTCACTTCTTACGCATTGCAAATCTGAATGCGGATTTAGTCAGACCGGTTTTCAGAGGACTTCCAGGACGCTTTTGACTGAAAAGTCCTTTACAGCACTCTGACAAAGTTTACAATCATACGCGCTTTGAAAATGGACCCATATTCCAAATTATCGTATCGACTTGAAAAGTCCCTTCTTCCGGTTCAGGTTAGTGCTGGACTGAGCACTCCCTGCCCACTGAAAAGTGTTCTGAAAATTAAGTCTCGATCTACTGTGACGGGATCTGCTCTTCGCGCATCAGATCACCGAGCTGAGCCCGGCTAGCTCCAGCGGCCTTGCCAAGGCGGATGAGAGTTGAAAGTTTTCTGTACGAAGTTTGGGGTTTCATTTAGCTCCCGACACATTCCGATCGGCGGATTGCTGTGTGAAAGAATACGATCGTCCGCGCGGTGCTCCTTGCAGCGCTCGAAACGCCGGATGTGTATATCATAAAACCAGAAGGTGCTATTAATCTGGATCGTACCATGTAAGCTCAATTGGTTACAAGGAATCCAAACGGTGTTGCGGTCAAAGGCGGCCGCGGATCAAGTGTAATAGACTGCGAGATTGACAACAGAACGATTGCAAATGGCTAGTGCCAAGCAGCCCGCTTAAGCGTTCGCAAACTCAGCTTATGAGCGTTCGCGAAATCAGGCTTGCGCGAGCGCACGCAGATTAGTTCTCTTTATGGCAAGAGATATCAAAGCCATTGGGTGCCTACATTTAAGGCATTCGCGTCACAAAACAAAGTCGACAAGACGGAACGCATCATCACCATTGCGTGGAATCCCTTTCGTACGTGGCTCACAAGGTCCAAATCTTTTGAATCCACGGACGCCCAGTTGCTACTTTCTCGTGGTCGCTGGTTTTGCATCCACAATGCTTTGCTATACATGCTTAAGTTTCGCAACTTGGGAGGCTCACGGAACAATATTTCATCGTCCATGCAAGCTATCAGCCTGTCTGTCATGTCCGCTAAGACCGAAAAAGTCTTCTATATAAGTGGCGGCTCCTTGTAGGTTAAAACGCTAGAAAATCTGCGATCGAGGCGTTTTTAAACGAGGGCTCTCTCTATGTGATAACGATTTCAACCCTCTGCGTTTGAGTGCAACTTGGCCTTAAAGTGTGGTCCTCAATTCTTAACCGCGGGGACCGTTGCTGCTCTTGGGGTGATGGTAGGGACCGGTGCCGCGGCACCCACCGGCAGCGTTCCTACCGGTATCAGCGTGGAGCGCAGGTAACCGTCACCTGGGAAGACGAACGGCGTTGAGTATTCAAAAACTCGGAAACAGCTCTTGCCAGCTCACATGCTCACAAGACGCACTTATTTGAGCCTGCATTAGCAGAAATGAAAGCCGAGCACTAGCTCTTAGGCGTCAAGTTTCACGTATTGAAAACCGCAGAGATTTTGGGGTTATGCCACCGTTCAAAAGTAACGTTCATGGATTGGTGCGATTACCTCTTTGATCAGACATTTAGGTCAAAGGTTACCTGACCAACGTGATTAAATAGGTCGAGTTGCATTGAAGAACAACGGCAACATCATGGAAGTGGGCTTCTAGGTATCATGCGGGCAATCAAGGCTGATTCGGGCTTGCCAGGGTCCCGTCACGATCACGAGATTCGCTCGCTCGTAGTCTTCTGCGTCTTGAACTTTGTAGACCCCAAAAAAACGGCTGATTGTCAACACCTCAACACCCCTCTATATTACGTCATATCCCTGCCTAGCGCTGGGGCAAACTCACAACTCACCCCGATCTCCGCTGGAGCCACGGTAGAGGCGGGGCTGCTGGTGGCAGCCGGATCAAAGGCGAACCGGCCAGGCCCGCTAGGGAAGGAGGAGAAGCTCAGGCTGGGCGTGGTGGTATTGTTTGCGAAGCTGACGTTGATGACAATGTTATCCAGCCCGGCGGTGGAACTGGTTGAGAGGAGAGGGCCGACGGCGGCGGTCGCACCGATGGAACCGGTGCGAACTGAGAGCTGCGTGACGAACAAAATGACCCAGATGACGTCTTGTTCTTACTTCGGTGTACATATATTTTTCATGTAAAGCCCGTACCGAAGCATGGAGCTATCGTGTCAGAGTTCAAGTGACTGCGGTTCCAGCGTTTATCTCTGCTCGTATCATGTGGTCGACTAAGGAAGACGACTATACCAAATCGGAGATGCGCTCCTTGTCTCATGCAGCTTGCATGTCGGATATAGGTTGGAAAGACCCGGTTCCATGAGAGATTTGGTGGCGACTTATTGCTCAAAAGATTGTCTAAGCAAATCACACTCGTGAGAGACATCTAGTAAGATTACTTTGGTGCCTATATCGGAATCTCTCACCGCTCTCGCCGGATCAGTATTGACCAGAAGCAGGTTTGCCCGCGATCCACCGGCCGGAATGTCAAACGGAGACGGAACGTCCGCAGTCGCCGCGTTAGTAGCCGGGTTGTAAACTTTCCAAAAGTCGTTGTTGGCTTGATTGCTGGCCAGTACGATTTTCACGGGCGTCGAACACGCGTTGGCAATATTCACCCGGGCGGTGTTCGAAGGTGGGGGAGAAGGGGGACCTGTCATATGCAAGGGTTAAGCTTTTGACGAACAGGTTAGCCGTAGACTAAATGTGGTTAGTGCTTACTTAGTCGCTCCTCCCGGGCAGCGGATCAGACGGATCTGGCAAACTGCTCCCCCGAAAACGGGTGACTTGGGGATTTACGTCCCGTTTTGGCTTGTTGGTGTTCTAAGGTGGCAAGCAGGAGAGTATAAGAGCTACTAGACTAAGACGAGCCCGCATATGGATTGAGTGTGTGAGTGGGCTTAGCGAAGGCAGAAGATGGACGATATTTCTAAATTTTTGCAGAACACTTGTGCTTAGCACGAGGTTGATTCAAAGGAAACCCAGGGGCTTGTGGTTCGTCATGCCCATCTGAACTGGAACAAATGCCACGTTGCGAGGAGCTAGGAGAAATACCCTGCCGTTGATAAAAGTGAACCTTGTGCTGACCGATGATTCTCATTATCGAAGTCCCGGTCGAATGCTCCTTGAGGTCAAAGTATCTGAAAGTAAAAAGTCACGAGCAGCAGTCCTCCGGTGATTCTTTAAGACTGAAAGGATTCAGGCCGTTGAAAACGAGTGACGTATGCACAGCAGGAAAAACTCCTGATGAAGCTTCGAAGCTTCTTACGGAGCGCAGGCGCAGTTGTGACCGGGGGAGGGGTGGGGGGGGCACTGCTCGGCGAGGGGGTCGTAGGCGGGGAAATGGTCGAAGGGGGGTCGTGGGGGAAGGAGTCGTGAAAAGGGGGTGGGGTCATAGGCGGGGAGTGATCGAGAGAGAGGTCGTGGGCGGGGAGTCGTTAGAAGGGGGGTGGGTCGTGGGGGGGGATCAGGGGGGGTATTTTAGGCGTCGCTGTCGGTGTTGGTTGGGGCGTGGCCGGGGCACTGGTCGCCGGGGCAGTGGTCGCCGGCGCGGTAGTCGCCGGGGCAGTTGTGGCCGGGGCAGTAGTGGTCGGGGCGGTAGTCTTTGGCGCAGTGGTGGTC